TACCCATTCAAATTGGGGAGTAGTTCAAGTTGGAGTTTTAATATAATTTTAATATAAAAAACAAAATTAAAAAAATAATAAATTACTAATTCCAATTGGGGAGTAGTTTTAAATTGAATTTTTAAAATTATTTAAAAATAAAAAAATAAAAATAAAGTAATAAAAAAAACTTCAGAGAAAAATATTAAATAACGTAATATGCTAATGAAACTTTCTATTAATAAAGTAATAGTATTAAATATTGAAAGATATAATAAAGAAAAATACATAACAAAAACGTTATTCGATGCGCTGCCTGTATAAGTCCCGTTAGTTTAACATAGATTTTATTCACTAAAATTTAGATAATATTATTAAGAACAACAGAATAAAATTTAAAATAAAAAAAAATTCAATAGTAATAAATTATATATCTTCTCATATATTACAAAAAGAAAGCGAATACTAAATATTGTTTAATATAATAAAGAAAAATAGAACAAAAAAGTTATTCACTGACTATATAAGTACGTTTGATTTAATAGAGATTTCATTATTGGGTATATCGTATTGACAAACAAGATGACAATTGAATTTTATTAAAGCAATACGATCTAATAGGATCAATCAAGCCTGATCATAATTTAATTTAATTAATATTTTTTTAATATTGACTGCGCATCGCGCGGGTACGACTACTAGTCACACCTAAAAGGGATAGGAGAGTATAAAAACAAACAGAATCTTTTAACTATTTTAGTAGACAATATAGAGTCTACAAAATGAGAAGAACAGTTCAATGTTTTAAGGGATTGTAATAAAAACGGACACTTATCTGTGAAATGAAATAGCTTAACAATTTGGAAAATTTTATGTAAAGTGTATTGAAATCTGCTATTGTATAATGAAAAAATGTTTTTGAAGAATACAAGGATTAAGTTTCGGAGAATATATAATATCCACGTTTGCTTGGGTTAATTTCTGAAAATGAGTTTTTGTAGAATATTTCTGTCAGTTCCTTTACTTTGGTTTGTGTAATTCTCTTTGGATTATTTCTGATTTTCATATAATATTTTAATCTGATTCACGCAAACCCAAATCATTTTTTTTAATTTAAAAAACCGACTTTATTTTTGTTCTAAAAACACTATAAAACAAAGAAAAGAAAAAGCTACACTATAAACTAAAATTATTAGTAAATTCCTAAAAACACCAAAGATTAAAACTTACCCTAGTCACATCCTATATTTACACAAAATATATTAATTTACAATGATTAATATAAATTAAGGTGAAACTATATACTATTAATTAACTATGATTTGGTATAAACAAGATAAGTTTTTACTTCACCAATAGAGTAAGACCAAAATAATAAGATGCATGAGATCTCTCTACCTTTAATTAGAGATCTCGAGACATGACATAAATTTTTTTTTTTAAAAAAAATTCCTATAAACACAAAAGTACGTTATGTTTAGAAACAAAAATCTCATTTCCTAATAAAAAGAGAAATATATACTTTTAGCCGCTTCCAAAAATAATAGCCGATTAAATACATACATACATATACATATACATATACATACATACATATATATATATATATATATATATATATATATGTATAATACATATGCTATACATATCTTTTGCACTTTTGATTCACAAATTTTATTAGTTTCGGCCGACCAGCCAATTTCATATGTTATAAATAAAATAAATTGTTTCTCTAAAACAAAACAAACTCAAAAGATTTCAACTTGTCCCCGTATTACAGGCAAAATTATGTGTAATGTGGGCGTGCAATATTGGTCAATAAAATTCCCAACTCTGGACATTAAGAGGAAACGGGGCTAAAAAAATAAAATATAAACGTTTATCTGAAAAAACTAATTTGTCGGGAAAAGCTAATTCATTATCCAACAAACTGTACATTCCACAAAATTACCCAATGAACTTCACCAAAACCCAAAATTTTCAGTGAACATTCAATAATTGTTTCAAGAACATACTCAATTTGGGAAATTAGCTCTAAAATTCATCAAATTAATTTTGGGTCTTCAATCTTTATCACCAATAGCCAACTACGTTGGCCTTTTTAGGGCTTTTTTCAGAGTTAAAAATGGGTCGCTCTCGTGGAAATTTCCAAGCTGATGAAGATCCCAGCCAAAGGTTCAATCTTTATCATATCTTTTTATTCTTTTAGTTTATGGGTATTTATTAATTATAGGTATAAACCACTAATGGGTGTTGAACTGTTGTTGGTTTTTTTCTCTCTAGTTTTTTTGTGGTAAAGATTAGATTTTTTTTGTTGCTAAATTTATTAGCCAACACTCGTGTCAGGAATTGTAGGTATTTATTCCAGCATCTTTTAGTTTATGGGTGTCTTGTTTTGGGTATAAACTACTAATGGGTGTTTTCTCTAATCAAGTAAGAAGTTTCAAAACTGCTAATGGGTGTTAAATTGTTTCTTTTTTCTAGATTTTGTTGTAGATTAGATTTTTACTGCTAAATTAATTAGTCAACAGTCAAAAGTGTCATTAGTTGTAGGTATTTGTGGGTGTCTTTTAGTTGGTATAAACTACTAATGGCTGTTAACTTATTGTTTTTTCTAGTTTTTGTGGTAAAGATTAGATTTTTATTGCTAAATTGAATAGTCTATAGTCGAAAGCGTCAGTTGGTTGTATGTATAAACTACTAACGGGAGTTAAATTGTTAGGCTTATCTTGTTTTTCTGGTATAGATTGAATTTTTAATTTTTTTTGCTAATGTTTAGTCAATTTGTTGAAGAGCATCTTTTAGTTACAGGTTTCAAACTCGTAATGTGTGTTAATTTCTTGGGTTGATCTTGTTTTTCTGGTAAAAGACTAGATTTTAATAAGTAATGATTAGTCAATTGTTGAAAGTTAGCTCTAGTATGTGCTTTTACTGTGCGAGGGCGAGCATTGGCGCTGTGGTAGAGTTAGTGACCTCTTTGCAAAATTGCAGGGGAAGACTGTTTACATTATATGCTCGCCCTTCCTCTACCCTGCACTAGCCGGGGTACTAATGCCACATTGGTATTGAGCATTCCTTCTTAATTTATGAGTGAGCAGTTTGAAATTTGGCATTTTTATTTGATAAGTATCCTTTTTAATTTTCCCAAGAACAGGAAGTACTAATTATAATGGTATGTGCTCATTGCTTATGAATTTCTTTTCTTTTATAGATGAACTGTTAGAGGAATTTGGATGCTTTCTTTTCTCTTTTCTTTTCATTTTCTTAGATGGTTCTTGCTAATTTGGTGTAGTTTCATTACTCATTTTCCTTAAATGTAGATCAAGGAGGAAAAAGAATGCCTCAAGTGGAGAAAATTTAGAATCTGTGACTGTTGGTAAGTTTCGTTTAACTACTTTTCAGCTGTTAAGTTTAATTCTGATTTTTGTAGATGGCAGTTTATTGTTGTTAAAGTCCAGTCGGAGTTTGATTCTTGTGGATGACAGTTTATTGTAGTTGATTATCTTCTTTTGTATCCCTTCATAATGCGTTTTTGAATCTTTCAATCTGGCAAAGGTTTTCTGTCCATAGACTTATTCAGGTTTATTGGTAGACGATCTCAACGGTGACTAAACTGTAAACAGGAATCCTGCAATCGTATTTCCCTTTTCATTTTTGAAATGACAATCTATTTCCTTTTGCCAGATAAGGATAAAATTTCTAAAATGCAGGTTTTTCTGGATATGCGCCTTCACAATGATGTCATTGTAGCTCTATTATCTATATAAACAATATGTTGGAGCTGTTTCTTGCATACATGAATTTCTTTTGGAGACCCGGCTTTTTTGGTATAAACATATGGCAACAACCTTTAAATTACCAAAGAAAGCATGGTATGAATGGTTTTAGGTCCAAACATACTATTACTTTTGAGCTTGCGTGGTATCCTTATGCTTTATTTTGTCAGAAGAGTATTTTGGTACTTTTGCAGTTACTGTAGTGGGCATAAGCTACTCTGGAGGTAGAATTTTTGGTAAGAAGACACTTATACAACATTAATTTTCTTTTGTAAGAAAACAGTTTTTTGTCTAGTGTGTAGTGTAGATGGATTTTGGTAATTTGAAGTTGTCCGGAATCGGCATTACCTAGTATTGGAAAAGAGAGTTGCTTAAGCGGAAAATCACCCTCCACCTTCGACCTTGAGGTTGGGGGTTCAAGTCACCAAGGAAGCAAAAAGTGGGCAAGGGCTACTCTTGACTCCTATTGCGGGGTGGGGGGTTAAGTGTAGCACTAATATATTTTAGGGAATTTTCTGGAGTAGGATTAGGTCTCGATATCCTTATAATTCTTTCAATGCATAGAGCTTATCCATTTGAGATTTTTATTGGGTCAATTGGTTAAACGGAAATGAAAAGAATTGAGAGGAAGCAATAAGTAAAATAACACATTTTGACCTAAATTATACTTTCTTTATTTTTTTTCCATTCCTTTTTCTTCAAATCAATCGTACCCAAGTAATATTGACTTTTTGTATCGTGTCGTGCAATTCTAACCTCGTCACCTGATGCCTGAAGGACTAATAGTGATTCCTAAGGCTTTTTTCTTTTTTTCTTTCTTGCTTATTCTTCTCTTTTCCTTATTTTTGTCACTGTTTGCAATGGAAACAACCTTTTTTTTTCAACCTCTTCAAGTGTTTTCATGCTCAAATAAATGCTAAGAAATCACCATTCTATGATTCCTTTTTACCCAATAATTTCTTAGTTCTTACCCTTTTCGCCCCAAACTCTGTGCAGTTTCAGACCCATAAGCTGCTGCAAAGTCGCCGTACATCATTCTCATGACCTTTAGAGTCTTCCAAATTTGCAAGCACTTCTTATATGTTGACATAATGCTCTTGATTACTCAGGCCAAGGGACGGGTGAAGGCAAAAGGGCCTTGTATCACTGCAATTATTGCAACAAAGATATCAGCGGGAGAATTCGTATAAAATGTGGTGTCTGTTCTGATTTTGACCTATGTATAGAGTGCTTTTCGGTTGGTGCTGAGGTGCAGCCTCACAAGAGCCATCACCCCTATAGAGTTATGGTCAGTTCTTTCTTCTTCTTTATTTTCTTAAATTGATAAGTAAGGTACTATGTTTAGTTCTTTCTTCTGTAAACGATGGATTACTTTATCCTTTGTGGTATGGAGATCAATCTTTATGTCATGCATTTTACAGATTACTTTTCTGAAACTTTGATTTTTTATTTTTTCATATCAGTAGTAATACATAGGGCAAGTTACACATTTGGCTTGTCAGCCAAAAATAATTACATCCGCTAGTCAAATTTACAAAAAATAACTATAAAATCTGTATATTATACATTAATATATAAAAGCTATACATATTGCCGGCTGTGTTTTTTTTGGGAGGGGCTATACTGGGTAGTTTTCCCTAATACCATACTACATACTACATATCTGAAACTTACCAGAAAGTTGCATTATTAGCGTTCAGCATGAACTAGATGTTTTTGCAAACATGTGGATTTTAGAAGCTTACTTTGTGTTTCTCAATGCTTTTTGGTGCACCGGCTTTGGAGCTAATCGTCATTTTGATCACTGGATAGCAGTGCTGTTGCATTGTTTTAATGACGTTCATAGTGACCTTGGACAGGACATCTTATCTTTCCCGCTTATCTGCCCGGACTGGAATGCTGATGAAGAGATGTTGCTTCTGGAGGTGTTATTTCTATGGACCTTCTTTTTGGACACCTCATGTCTTATTTATTAACTGAATTTGACTTTTCACTTTTACTGTTAGGTAATCATAACGTCAATACCCCCTTTTCTTGTTGTCTTGGTTGCTTGAATTTGCTCCCCCTAGGGACTTGAAATGTATGGCATGGGTAATTGGGCAGAAGTTGGTGAGCATGTCGGAACAAAGACAAAAGAAGCCTGCGTTGAACATTTTAAGAGCGCATACTTAGAGTCACCTTACTTTCCTCTGCCGGTAAGAAATTTTATTACAAATATTTTGCCAGTTTAATTCTTCTGACTCAACATATTGTCACCTGCATTTTTCCTTTTCCTTTTCCAGGATATGACTCATGTCATTGGGAAAAACAGAAAGGAACTCCTTGCCATGGCTAAAGGGAATTTCACAGATAAGAAAGGTTAGGAATGTAGTTCTCAAATTCTGCATCCTCTAGTTTCTTTCCTTGGCTGCTCATCTTGGGAGCTTGTTCTTCTACCATTAGGATAACGAAATGATGCTCGGTGCAACATAAGTCATGCCTTCGAGGTCAAATAGTCTGCCGTTACATATATCCTAAAATAACTAATAGTGGCATGTGATGTGAATCTATCTAATACTACAAGTATAAGTGTTTTGTGTATCTTCTTTTTTGCCCTAACAAAGTAACTTTCGACTAGAAGCTACATAAACGGAAATGTTAGAACCGTTACATATATCCTAAAATAACTAATAGTGGCATGTGAAGTATATCTATCTAATACTACAAGTATAAGTGTTTTGTGTATCTTCTTTTTTGCCCTAACAAAGTAACTTTCGACTAGAAGCTACATAAACGGAACTGTTAGAAGCTTTTGGAGATCTCTTTATGAATGCATCTAGTATATGCTATATCTCAAAGTGTCACTTTCTTACATATAGTGTAAAAAATTGCCCTTCAACCTATGTTGCGCGAACTCTCCAAAATGTAGCCGCACCCGTGTCGGATCCTTCAAAAATGCACTATTTTTGGACAATCCGACACGTATCCGGCCACATTTTCGGAGACACCGAGCAACATAGCCTTCAACTACAAGCTAAATTCTCCTAACAAGTAGGAAATGCAGGAAAACTTTTTTGAATCCCTCTATGGATGCGTTTAATCTCTATTGCATGTATCAAGATAAATGAGCTTCTTGTTTTTCATGTTTGAGAAAGTATGAAATAAACTAAAGGCAATATACATAATCACTATCTGAAGAAACTCTTCAGAATCTGTATACGCAATTATGCATGTAACAAATCTAAATAGCTAAAAAGATATTGATTTCCATATTTAAAATGGAAGAAGTGAAGAACTAGGAAAAGGGGAAACTCATGAAAATATCTGTGCATACAAGGGGGAATCAAAACAAAAGGGCTAAATAAATAGGAAAATATCCTAGCTTCAAGTAATTTAATTTCATTTAAATTTTAGAGAGTAAGTTTAACAAAATTTGACAACCAATAGTACAAGCATATTAAATATTTTGAATTTATTACTTCTGTCGGTACCAAATACATTAAATGTAAACTGTTGTTAGATTATGATGAGATATCTTGGTCAAGACTACAGATAATAAACACTGATAAAAGAAGACTAAAGATAGTTAACCAATGACAAGGATTGTGACAAGAGGAGTATGTCTTTCCGCAAGACATGTAAATATAGTTTTGTTCTTTTTATAACAATGAATTGGTATATATGGTCAAATATGGAAATCAAATTTTTAGCTAATTACTTTATCGTTCTAAACACAAGACACTCCAAGCTAAATAATCTCCATTCACTAAAAACTAAATCTAGATGAGTTTTTAGGTAACAACAACAAAAACAATACAAGAATAACAATTGGTAGTAATTTTTAAAGTTAATTATAATTATTCAGGCTTCAAGCTGGTTAATAGTTAATCTTGAAGATGATATTAGACGATTCGCAATTTTTTACGGGTGATGTTTAAATCATAAATAAATGATGGAACAAAGAATGTGCGAAATTTTTAAATTCCTGTACTCTGTGGGAGACAACTGAATTAGTATGGAACTCTTTTTTGATAAGGTAATCAATATGGATTTTCAAAAAAAAAACTTATATGATGATAGTACTCACTACACTTATTTCATATTTAGCTAAAAGATAAAAAAAAATGTCACTCCTCGTGTTCCATTTTGTTTGATATACTCCTTTATTTAGTATAGGAAGTATTTTAATATCTCTACCACATTGAAATACGAGACTTATCTGAACTTTCTCCTCTAAATCCTATATCAAGTTTAACAGACTAGTTAATTGGGACGGAAGGAGTAAAAGCAATGAGAAAATATTCACAGAATTCAATTATCTTGCTAATTCTCGGGATTTATGTCATTAAACATATATTCATAAAGATTACCAAAGTACGTTTAATAGCAAAATTATGGGATCTTTACAACTTTTCTTTCTTTTTATTGGTTGTTTTGGTCTTTGCTTTCGTTATTTCATAAAAAAAATATCCCATAAATACAATAAAAAAGGGCAGCCCGGTGCACTAAGCTCCCGCTATGCGCGAGGTCCAGGGAAGGGCCGAACCACAAAGGTCTATAGTATGCAGTCTTACCGAACCACAAAGGTCTATAGTATGCAGTCTTACCCTGCATTTCTGGAAGAGGTTGTTTCCACGGCTCGAACCCGTGACCTCCTGGTCACATGGCAACAACTTTACCAGTTATGTCAAGGCTCCCCTTCATCCCATAAATACAATGTGAAAGAAAATCTTGTCTGCATCTCTGGATTCTCAAGTTTTTTTAGTAAAACCATGGCTACTTTATTATAAAAATGTGAGAATAAAGATAATTGAAGTGCATGCAAAATTAATTGAAGTCTTAGGATGTAAAATTAATTGAAGCAACTTTAATAAAGTTGTCCAATTTATCCTGAAATAGACAAATTAATTGACATATCTTTAAGTGTGTGCATAGTACTTGCAAATACGTGCAAACTAGTAATAGAGAAAACACGGTGAGGAGAATTCCTGTGGGAGAAAACTAGGAATTCATGTACTAGTAAGAGAATTTTATCTGATTGCAATGAATTTTCACAACACTATATCTTACATTGACTGCTTGTGGCAATTTCAGGACACTCCTCACTTGGTGATGTTGTTCCTAAAGATGAATCATTCTCCCCATCTAGAGTCAAGTATGAATTTCAGATTCTATAGTCTTTGGCATGGTTTATTATCCGTTATCTCCCTAAATCATCTAACTCTCGCTTTCTTCTTTGCATTGTTGCCGTTAGAGTTGAAGACTCACATAAAAATGGTCCTTTAGGCCGCTTAAATTCTGTATCCAATACCGGTAAGAGCAGTTCTTAGTCCTTTTTGAATGCAATATTTACTTTTCTCCTACAAAGGATATGAATTCCTCGAGTCATTAACATAATGGATTCTGCAGGAACCACAGGCATTAAAAAACCATCCAGCAAAGCGCAAGCCAAAGACCAAAATGCACCTGTAAAATTGGAAGGTAGGGCGGGCAACTTTTTATTTATGACGGAAGAAATTGGTGAAGGAATTGATCAGTTTTTAAAAAGTAAATTAATTGTTGGCAGATAATCACCCGGGCAGAAATTTTGGAGGCAAGAAACCTAAATCTTTGAAGGATGATGGATCCTCGTTGATGAAATTAAGTGGATATAACGCCAAAAGGCAAGAATTTGATCCTGAATATGATAATGATGCGGAGCAACTATTGGCTGATATGGAATTCAAGGAAACTGAAACTGAAGAGGAGCGCGAACTTAAGTTGCGTGTTCTGCATATCTATGGCAAGAGGTACTCTTCCTTTCCTCTGTCACATATTTCATATTTCCTTCAGTTATCATATACTTACGACATCAAGTTTCAATGAATAATGGTAGGCTTGATGAAAGAAAGCGTCGCAAGGATTTTATTCTAGAGAGGAATTTACTCCAGCCAAGTGAATTTGAGAAGGATTTATCTCCAGAAGAGAGAGATATATGCCGACGTTATGATGCCATTATGCGCTTCCTCTCCAAGGAGGAGCACGAAGAATTACTCAAGACTGTGGTCTCAGAACATAGATTTTTGAAAAGAATACAAGAACTCAAGGTGGGAAACTTGGCTCCGTTGATTATTATAATCTCCGTTTCATTTTATATGACACTCTTTCCTTTTTAGCTTGTTCCAAAAAAAATGACACCTTTAGAAACCCTTCAGGTTTAAACTTTTCATTTTACACGTAACGACATGCTCTTGTAGTCTTAAAATGTCATGACATCTTTAAGACCACAATTTCTAAATGTTACTTCTGGTATGTTTCAAAAGCCTTTATTTCTTAAACTATATGTCCAGTCAAACGCCGTCATATAAAATGAAATAAAGGGAGTACCTATTTTGTGAAACTAACTGTTGGCATGTGGATAAGTTCTCTCTAGTTCTCTTCCTTTTCGATATTTGCTCATTAACCTTATATAGAAGGTAGGTGAATTTTATAAAATTAGAACCATATGTCATTTGACTAATCTATGACGCAGTAGCAAAACGTGATAAAAAATCACTGTCTATACTGTTACTAGTTATGTAAGGTCAAAATTACGCAGGAAGCAAGAGCTGCTGGTTGTCGTTCTTCTGCTGAAGTTGAAAGATACATAGAAAGGAAAAGGAAGAGGGAAGTTGAAGAAGGTGTTCCCAGAAAAGAAAGTTCTCAGATTGGTCCAACAAGCCAGGAGAGCTGTCAGGGCAATTTGAGTTCCATCACCGATTCGGGCGTTGTAGCTTTTTCTGCAGGAGAACTGTTATCAGAACCTGTAAGTTGTCAGATTACTGCTTTTGAAATGAATTCTTCAGTAACACAACTTGTTTGATTCTTGTACTTATGTCTAGGACTCAGTAAATGGCACACTTCAATTTAAAGAGAGAAAAAGGTCAAAAACACCTTTCTGGTACAACACAAAATATCTTTATTTAGCATCCGTTATACTTTGGGGCCATTCATACCCTTGCTGTTAGCAAATCTTTCTCGTGTTTGTGCATGACCCTAATGGAGCTCCAACTCGAAGCATAACGGGATTTACTTTTAATCCATAGTCAAAAGTAGAGTGGTAACTTTTTCCAAAATATTTTAACACCTTGAATTTACCCGGTTCGTGCTGGAGGTCCTTTAAATCAAGGACAAACATGAGACAATGAGCTAATGACAAGAGTATGAGTTGCCCGAAAGTATAATGGAGGGTAAAACTAAGAAATTTCGTATAGTAAAAAGGTAAAATTGTACCTTGTTCCATTTAAATATGCGGGAACCATTATTCTACCGGGTACCTACTACCCCCAACTAGTGTAGATACCAGGTAACCCTGGAAATAATCAACAACAAACTCATTATAATCCACTAGTGGGGTCTAGGGAGGGTAATGTGTACGCAGACCTTACCCCTACCTTGAGGGTAGAGAGTATGTCTCCGATAGGCCCCCGGCTCAACAAACCCTGGAAAAAATCACCTGTCGTTTTTTTGTCTCAGAGAGTTTCAATTCTGGTCAGCCATCAACTAGTTTGATTTCTTAGATGTAACTTTGTGTGATTTTTTCTGCTTGCAGGAGAAACAATTATGTCGAGAAATCAGGTTACCACCTCAACATTATCTTAGGATGCAGGAAGTCCTTACAATACAAATTTTTAGTGGCAATATTACAAGAAAATCTGATGCGTATCCCTTGTTCCAAATAGAAGCAACTAAAGTAGATAGAGTTTATGATATGCTTTTGAAGAAGGGAGTTGCACCCTTGTGAAATTTTGTCCAGGCATTATTCTTTCTAGTTTATTTAAATGACATCTCCCAATATTTATCATCCTCTCACACTTTTATGGGGCACTTCGTCAGCAGTGGTTCGTTTAGCAAGCAGTCTTATTGCTTGAAAGCACACACAACACATAGTAGGAGAGTTCGAGTGTGAAAGCAGTGTACTCATGCCCCTGAGATAAGGTATGCGTTTAGTGCCTTATCTAACTATAAGAGTTCTTCTGCTCTAATCTCCGAAATCGAAGGTCAGCTGACTGAGGAGTTAGTATTGATTCATGCAAAGATGCTCCTTTGAAGCTGGAGTAAGGAATTGTCCACCTCATCACCCCGAAGAGTAGTGGCTCTGTTGTTATAGTATTTCTATTCACTTCTTGGCCTCATTTCGCACCCGGTATTTACAACAAGCAGGATATACATATTCATACACATTTATTACTGAACCATGGTCGAGTGATATGTATTTTCACTGTAACTTTTAACTATCACAATTAAGTGCACGTTTGGACATAAGAGTTATAAGATTCTGCAAGAGTAAAAATTTTTTCAAGTGAAAATGGTATTTGAAAATTAGTGGACGTTTGGACATAAAAATTGTAAAATTCTGAAAAAAAAATTTCAAGTGAAAATGGTATTTGAAAATTAGAGTTGTTTTTGGACATGAATATAATATTGTGTATGAGTGAATTTTGAAAAATAACTTTTTGGAGATTTTTAAATTCTTGAAAAATTTCAAATTCATCTTCTAAGTGAAAATTGAAAATTTTATAGCCAAATACTTATTTCGTAAAAAAAGTGAAAAAAATTTCATGGCCAAACAGGCTCTAAATTGTTTGATTTCGTATAAACATTGGGTGTGAATAAGTATTTACCACGTGACCAACATATTCGACTAGAGCTAAATTAATACTTACTATATGGATTTAAATTATATGTACCCACGACATTGTTAAGAAAATATCTGGTCATTCAAAAATAGTCGGTGTTTACGAAGTCAATGAAAAATAGCTACTATTTTGCTGCAACAGAGACCGGTCCAGCATAATATACTGAAGTTCGGTACACCTGTGTATGAACTCCAGCATATTATGCTGGACCGGTATACTTTGCTGACTCCAGTATAATATACTGGAGACTGGAGCACCGGTGCTCCAAACTCTAGTATATTATATTGGACAATTATACTTGCTGGAACTCCAGTATATTATGCTGGAGTTCTAGTGTACTTATGCTGGAACTCCTTCATATTATGCTGGAGTTCCAGTATATTTATCCTGGAACTCCAGTATAATATGCTGGAGTTCAAGCATACTTATGCTGGAACTCCAGTATAATATACTAGCATATTTTTCGGGTTTTGAACAGTGTTTTCGCTCAGATTTATATTACATGAAAAGTGGCTAAATTTCGATTACTTTTGAAGAACATTATTGAAAGAGGAGAGCCGGTCTAGCACACTAAGTCATGAGTGAACCTAGGCTCTTCAAGACCAACCTTTTACTCTGGGCTATTTTTGAACGACCAGCTGTAAATCTGGCTATTTTTGAATTTCTCCCGAAAATATCGGAATAGAGCTAAACTATTACTTAGAGCTAATCAGCTCCCTTATGTGTAAAGTGCAATATGCAAGAAGTGGTGAGAATCAACTTTAGTCAACTATTCTTGGTTCTTATGCAGCAGAAACACCAGAAACTTCACGGCAACTCGTTTCATTTCGTGTACCCCTGAATAATATTTCAATTTTTTATTTAGAGAAATCTCTAGTCTTATCGAAAAATTTATTTGGAATAAAAAGCATCAAGTATATACAGCTTTTACACTGGAAAAAAATTATGCAAAGAGATTGTAAATATACACTGATGCAGTAAAGTAATCTTCCACTGTTGGTATATTTTAACATGTCGTAACAAATAACCTGCATTATTTTTCAGCTTACTAAACTATTTTTTGTGAACAATTACCTGTAGTTATTTTTTAGTTAAAATATTAGTGTGAACTATACTTTTATACAATGCCAATGAATAAAAAGTTAAAAATTCATATGTCAAACTTCTCTATAACATCCGATCTTTTTTGGATGCTATAGTAAAATACTGTTGTAGAAAATATATATTATTAGCTTTTATAACGAATGTTTGTTATATAGGGATGTTGTGATAGAAAAGTCTGGCGGTATATACAGACCATACTATACATACATAAACCAGCCAAGCTCCAAAACACAAGACATATATCTTCATCTACACTCAACTCTCCTTTGAGATTTTAATTAGTTACAGTTTTTCACTTGGGGAAGAGTATATAGGAAACAAAGGGCAAAGATGGATGACTACAACTATGGGAGCCAGACGATTGAAACTGCTAAAAAACCAAATATTTACAATGAATTGATAAAGAAAACTTTGCAGTTTTTAGTCCTAGTATCTCTCATATTTTTCCTTCTCTATTACACCTATGGTTTCTCCTTCTTTTTCACCTATAATTTTCACTTTTCAGCTCTTGTTTTCCCACTGTTTGCACATGGCTTTGATAGGAAATACATGTTCCTACTTTGTAATGCTATTCTTGCATTTCTTGCCAAGAACTTGAGTTGTACCTCTTCTTCTTCTTCTCGTGATGAAGAACAAGAATATGTATTAATCAAAGGTAAGGAAGAAGTAGAAGAGAATAAAGAAGAAGTTGCACAAGTAGAAGAAACTGCAGCATGTTTATTAGTATCAGATACAGAAACAGTAGAAGAAGGAAATGAAGTGAATATGAGCATAGAGGAACTCAATAAGAAGATTGAAGAATTCATAAGGAAAATGAAAGAAGAAATTAGGACTGAAGCTATGCACTCAAGTTCAAGGGAGTGAAGGTCATGGGAGATCAAGGTTCAAGTTCCGGCCAAGACAAAAAAGTGCTAATCATAGTTTTTTTTAATCTGCCTAAGTCTGATTCGCATAGCGACTCGATATTTTTGTTGTTGGAAGATAGCAAGTACACGATAAAATAATCGAAATGTGCACGAATTGACGCAAACAGTATGATCATTAAAAGGAAAAGAAAAACATATGCTTAAGAACAGCTTATAACACTTTAGTCCCTCTATTCTCTTCCACCTTGCATTTTGACCCTTCTTTTGGGGCGGGGGGGGGGGGGAGGATTGGATGATAAGTCTCATTTTGGTGCTTAATATTCCATTAGCTAGAGTCTTCTTCTGCATTTGCCTTTTTTAGTGCACAAGTCTCTTTTTCTCCCTTAATGTATGTTCATATGTGGTTAATTTTCTAGAAGTCATGTAGTTTTGACCCTGTCCCTGTCAAAGTAATAGTCAGCTTTTAATTGTATATTTTAGTTGGATAATGTTTGATTCCTTAGATAGAAAGTATTTAGTTTTGATATGTTAATTACTCAAGTATTTACCTATTAGTTCCAGTGCAGGCATCTTGATTTAGGGTCGGGAGGAGTATAGAACTTACTAGAAAAGGTAATGACTAATGCTGAAAATGGATATATTCCAGAATCTAGAGACAAATAATACGTAATCAAAATAACTTATTCTAGTTATTCTAATTAAATATTTTAGAGGATAGATATCGGCGCATGTAAGCAATTTGCTTCTTAGTCCACCCCACTTAGTTGCTGTAAAGTTTACAAAACATACACATAGGAGTACGTGTCTGCCTCGTGCGATGAATAATACTATTAGAGATTATTTTGTGAAAATTGCTTACTTTAATTGTTATTAATTTTGTCTGTGTATTGCTAATATTATATTCTCATCCCGCAGCCTTATTTTGTATATAATAATACATAAATTCTCACATAGACGTTATTAGTACTGCAGAATTTAATAAGACCAAAGAATACAACGATTGTTATGAATAGAATTCTATCTAGAGTGAATGTCTATCTTGTAGAGAGTTTTACTTTGTGGCTAAGTTATTTTTTCCCCTGTAAAAAGAGGGGTCTTACCCCATTGTAAATCATCCCATAATTCTATAAGAATTTCCTTTCTCTCTTTATCTGCAATACTCTTCTTCTTCTTTTATTGTTTCATAACACGTTATCAGCACGAGACTCAACTGTCTCAAGAAGATTAAGGTACAACTTTTCTCCTCTTTTAATTATGACTGATATTATGAAAAGAAAGTTCGTTGCCCTTGAAATTTCGGGCAAGAACTATATGACATGGGTGTTGGATGCTGAAATCCATTTAGATGCAATGGGTCTTGGAGACGTCATTAAAGACAAAACTAAAGCATCCACCCAAGACTGTGCTAAGGCCTTGATTTTCTTGCGCCATCACCTTGATGAAGGGTTGAAAATAGAATATCTCACAGTCAAAGATCCACTTGTTTTGTGGAATGACTTAAAAGAAAGATATGACAACTTAAAGTTGGTCACTCTTCCACAAGCACGATATGATTGGGCTAATCTGAGGCTCCAAGACTTTAAGTCTGTTTCTGAATATAATTCTGCAATGTTCAGAATTACTTCTAAATTGAAACTCTGTGGAGATACTATCACTGATTATGATATGCTTGAAAAAACGTTCACAACATTTCATGCCTCCAATATGGTCTTGCAACAACAATACAGAGAGAAAGGTTTCAAAAAGTACTCTGAGTTAATTTCTTTTTTCCTTGTGGCTGAACGAAACAATGACTTGCTCATGAGAAATCACGAAAATCGACCCACTGGGTCTACACCATTGCCTGAAGTGGATGTGGTGTATTCCCATTATGCTAAGCGTGGAAAAGGCCGTGGCCCTATTCGTGGTCGTGGTCGTGGTCATGGTCGTGGCCGTGGACAAGGAAGAAATTTTCCTGGTGTTGATCACCCCCCAAAGAAAAATAACCACCAAAAGTGAAAAGGGAAAGATGAGAAGCCAAAGGCAAATGGTTCAGAAATCGAATGTCATCGTTGCGGTGGAAAAGGCTATTGGGCAAATATTTGTCGTGTACCAAGACATTTGGTTGAGCTTTATCAAGCATCTCTAAAGAACAAAGGCCCTGAAGCTAATTTTGTCTCTGACAATGATTTTGACATCACTCACTTGGATGTGGCACACTTCTTTGAGCGCCCTGATGGGAAAATAGACCACTTGATCGGTGATGGATCCGTGGTTAAAGATGATTGCGTAGTTTCATTTTTATTTTTGCCTATTCATAGTAGTTAGTGAATAAATATCATGTAATCATAGTTCTTTACATGAGTAGTAGTCATTAGTATCAATTAATATTATTTATTTTATGGAATAGTTTTAGTTCATTTTGATTAAAAATAGTCGTTTTATACAATTTTCCAATAATGGTACGAATACCTTTCTTATCGCTTCTTATATTGGAATGGCCTAACTTATAGG